CCTGCGTCCAGGTAATCCTGCATCGCGCAAACACGCCATTCCGCGAATCAACGACGCTGTTGCGTCCAGGCAACCCCTAATCGTGCCAGAACACCACTCCCCGGACTTCAGCCAGAACTAGACAAGTTGCGAACCTTAGAACGCACGTGTACAGTTCTAAAGCGAGCGCCGCATTCCGAAAATGGAGCCGCCTTCCAGCTATGAAGCTGCTTCATCACTGAAAGACAAGTATGCGCGGCGCTGAATCGAGCACAACAATTAAACACAAACCGCCCTCCATCCTTGAAGCTGTTGCGATAGTTCAAAACGAATGCTCGCGGCGCTGATGCGGGAATGACATTCAGAAGGCGAAGCGACGTCATTTTGTGAAGCTGGAAACGAATGCGCGCGCCGCTCAAACGAGGACCACGTGTTGAAACCGAGCCGCCTCCACCATTGGAGCTTACTTATGATACACATACAAACAAATTCGTCCGTGGCAAAGCCGAAAACCGCAGTTTGCAAACAAACCGTCCTCCATTTAAGCTTCAGGATCATGAGTGGCGAAAACGCATGATGCGAAACGCCCAGCCCGCCCTACCGACACGTCTGAGGGCGCGGCTGGCAATGAGCGAAAAGGAGGGGAGGAGCAGAGAAAGAAGTCGAGAAGCGAACGTGCCCTGAGGCGGACAAATGCTTCTTTGGGTGGCGCGGCCCCACGCCTCCGCGCAGGCTCGGAGGCAGCCTCATGCCTGCGTGCGCGGCGGACATCACCTGCTTGTTGATGCTGTAGCCGTCGAGAACGACGGAGTTGAGTGCGCCCGCGAGGGCGTTGTGGAGGCGGGCGTCCTCGTCGACCGACAGAAAGCTGTCGCCGCTGTCGCGCCTGGTCTTATCCGTCTCCTGCGCGGGTTGGCCACGAGGCCAAGCGACGCGGTGCCAGAGGTCCCTGCATACCACGTTGTGCGACACGTCATCGAGGCCGTCGGTGGGGCCGCAGATGCACCTCACCTTGCTGAGGTGCACGTGCGTAGTGCATGTCGCCGGCCACCTTCGTGCCAGAGTTTTCAGGATGGGCCGCGCGCGGAGCGCCGGCGTCATCGCGATCTGCTTCTTGGCCATGTTCCAGTCCATGAGCAGCGCGAGCGGGAGGTGGAGAAGCACCGCGACGTCACTGCAGTCATCGCTTCGTCGGGGCGGCTCAATTTCGCGGGGGTCGTGGTCGCGCTGTCATCATTGAACTCGTCTGGCTCCAGTGCCTCTCTTCGCCGGTCGCGGTGCTCAGCTCGCGACTCAAGCCAGGCGCTGGATGATTTCAAAGGTCGAGCAGGGTTGTTGATGCGCGGGCCTGTCCGCGTCCGTGCACGCGGCCGCCGCGCCAAACGTTGTCGCAAATGCGAAGGCCTGTCCGCGGTTGAACATCGCCGCCCGCGCCCGGAAATCACATCAAAAGAACGAAGGGCGGCGGGGCACCCTGAACACGTGAGCTTCGCGCCACTTCATCCAGTTCCGACATCTGTCGATGGTGGATGCCGAGGATCGGGTCGCTGGTCCAAGTGTGCCAGACCTCCTCCATCGCACTCAGCTGGTCGCGCGCGCGCAGGGAGTCCTGGGAACTCTGGTCGGGCGTCGGCGCCGCGGGAACACGCAGGATGTCGCCCCTCAGCAGGTTGTGCACGTGCAGCGCAGCTGCCCCGGGGATAGGCGCGTTCAGGCGATTCGTGATCGTCTGGTGGAGGTTGTCGCGGTAGCGAGGGCGCTGTAGCTCGGCCGCGCAGGCAGTAGCTCGGCCGCGCGTCTTCTCGATGGTGCCGAGATCCGCCCCAATATTCTGGGCTTGCTGTCCTCGCTCGTGGGTTCTTCGTGGTTGCGGATGTCTGGCAGCTTCCTTCCTTTGCGCGCTGGCCTTCCTGTGCGCGCTCTGCGCGCGTCGCGTGCCGTTCGCGGCGGGTCCGGTTTGGCGTCCGATTGAAGCGCCCGCGCAGCGAGCCTGTGTACGTGGGCACGCGTGCTCCATGAGACGTGCCTTGTAGCTTCAGTGCGAACGACGCCTGGCCCGGCCAGCCAACGGCGCGCCAGTGGCCGCTGATGGCCCTCAGCGGCGGCAGATGATCTTCAGCGCCTCGATGAAGTTGGCGCGCTGCAGCTTCCCAGCCCCGCCCCGTTCGCTCGCGCGGGCGGCGCGCCGCGTGGTTGGCGAGGGAGCGGCCCCCAAGTAGGCGGGGCTCTCTGCCCCGCCCTAAGTCATATTTGTGAATAGCGCGTGCATTCTTGTTGCCGGGAAGCTGGAGATCGGCGCGCGCAGCTGGCCTGCGCGGGATAAGGCAATGGCGGCGGCAGCGTTGCAGATCTGGATGCTCTGCCACAATGGACTGCGAGGTCTTGGCAAATGATGAGCTCGGTGCCGCAATTTCGCTGAGGGCGCATGCCATCGGCGCTGCTGTGTGGCCACGGGGCCGATGTGTGCACCGAGTTATTGCGCTTTGCCGTCGACTGTGAAGCTGTTCCACTGCTTGTGAATGTCTTTGAGGGTGGTCTTCACGTCGTCCACCAGCCTGGTCGTTGATCTTGGTCCAGGGTGGCACGGTGGCGCATTTCTCTGGCCGGCGATGCAGGCCCGCGAAATTTGCGGCAGCTTGAACACAAGGGCGACGCCGGATGAAATTTCGAATCGCGATGAATGCGCGCGGGGGTCGTCGGCGCAAACACCGGCAAGCCCAAGGCCGTCGCGGCGCAGGCCCGAGCCAGCGCCGAGAATATCAGGATTGATGACCAATGCCAAGATACATCCACAAAGACCCCCCTGCGCAACTCCGCCGTCCGCATCGAGGAGAGGGCGGGGCGCATCCACGTTCGATGTAGCTCGTTGGGCTGTGGCATGGTGCTATGATCAGGATCGCGATGTGACCGCGCACTCCCCATTGAGACAGACGCTCCCATGGCCGGGCGTGGAGGACACTGGGGAACGCCGTTGCGATGCCCACGCTGGAGGCAGCGTTGGAGATCGTGCACGTCAGGGAGAAAGCTCAGCATGCGACAGAAGGGAAGGCATCGGCGGCGACGGTGTCGGTATGAAGCTGCCTCCCAGGAACAGGGCCTCGCTGTGCTTCGTGCGTCTTTTTTTTCACCTGAGAGAGTTTTTTGGTTCTGCATGTTGGCCGCTGCTGCAATCATCTTGATATCGCTGTTCAGAATTGACAACTGTCGCAACGCTCAGCGCGGCCGTCGCCTCTCGGAGGCGTCGCCATCAACGAGTCTCTGGCGTCGCGTGGTACCGGATTTCTATCTGCCAGATGATGCACCCAGTCGACAAGGTTGTCGAGACTGGACTGCGCGGCAATCCACGCGCGATATGGAAGATGGTCGGGCCCAGGTGCTGACTCGGATGCAAATTCGGCAGCCTGCTCGAGGTCGGTGGCGTCGGGGGCGCCAATGCCCGCCAGTGGCCCAGCGTAGAAGACGGCGTCGAGGCTTCGCGCGCCCCGGTCTCGCCAATCAAAGTTTCAGCAAAGACTGGGGCCCAGTGATCTGACATAGCACTGCGCGTGTCCACGCAAGTCCGTCTCAATGGAAGTGGCCCAACCGGGGTTGAACTGAACGCTAGCAACAATTTACCACTTCGCAAACGGTTCCCAGGGCCCCACGCGACTTCTTTTCCGTGCCATGTTCTTCTGCTAACGGTTTAGCCACACTGCGTTTGGTCGTCTTGGTTTGCCTAGCGCGAAGGGCGAGCGACGAGGGCCTGGCGTTCGCAGGCGGCTGCAGCTCGCGCGTCTGATCGATGGCGGCCTGCCACGCCGCCTTGAATTCCTCTCGGCCATTGCTCGAGGGATCGTGATTGTGGGCGTTGAATGTGTGTGCGTGTGCGTGTTTCAATCTCCTCGCGGGCGCCCTGGATCTTCGTCTGCGCGACGCGGCCAGCAACGATCTTCGTGCGCTGTCGAGCTTGTCAACTGGCGCGAGGTCGAAGTGGCCTTTTGAAACGGGAACGAAGAAGAACGTGATGCCTCATGGATTGGGATTGTCGGGGTGATGTTGGCGCACATGTTGTTGATGATCTTGGCGGGACTCATGAGCTGAATCTTCTGGCGCACGAGCTTCGGGCTCATGCCAGCACGGATGTACAATGGGTGCCAAGTGCCCTCGTGTTCGACCGTGAAGCGGGCCAGCCACGGCGGAGTTTTTTCTCCCTGTGGAATGGTGACGCCTGCTCCTCCCACCAACGAGACGGAGACCAGCTTGCTCGGCGCCGCGCTGTTGAACCTGACGCAATTGATATCGACCCCTGCTGACGTGAATCACTCTGGAAGGAAAGTGCAGAGGGCGTCATTGGAGACGTCGACCGTGGAGCCACACCAGAACGTGGCGATGTGGCCAGGGCGGCCCCAGCTCTCAAGTGCGAGGAGGTCGACCGATGGCACTTCCGCTTGCCAAAGCAAGAGTTGTCTGGAGGTCGTTGGCTGCCCTGCGGAGCTCGGCGGTGGATTTCTCGATGTTATCGAGCCTTTGCTTGGCAGCCACGACCTCTGGCGCAACTGCTGCTTATCGGTTGGTGATACCCGTGGTGATCCTCTGGTCCGCTTGCGTGGATTCCTTTGCGATTTTCTCGAACCGTTTCGTGGCGTCCTCCGTCAATTCCTTGAAAACGGCCGTCGAGCTTGGCGCACGTGAATTCACTGACGACTGCTTTCCACGGGTTCCGTTGACGAGGCGGTCGTTCACGTCCCACACGTTCTCCTCCTTCCCGAGGCGAAGGTGCTTCAGCACGGCGCAATGAGAAACCCCTACGGCAACCAGATCGCTGGGCCGCGGCACCCCTTGTGGACCGCGTAAGTACGGATATGGAGGGCGAGAACACATCGTCGCAGCTGACCCTTGAGCAAAGAGTATGCTGTGGACGCCTGCAGGCTCTGTGCCTGCCAACATTGGGGTCTTGAGCCGACATGGCTACGGAGGAAGAGGACGCGGAGCAGGAAAAGGCGGCGCGGGAGGATGGCAAACCGTGGCCGCCACCGGGGCGCCTCCTTCAGCAACCCCCTCACGAAATCATAGCTCAGCGCCGAACGCTCGACCCAGCTGCTGCCCTCGCGCCTGCCAGAGGTGACGTCGTCATCGTCGTCCTCCTCCTTCTACTCCTCCTCCTCCTCCCTCGTTCCTCTCCCTGCGCGCGCGCCCTTCCTGCGCGCGTACTCTCCCGCGCGCGCGGGGGGGGGACTATGAGGAGGGAGGAAGGATGACTGAGTGGAGTAAGTGTATGGGAGGGCAAGGGGGAGAGGGAGGACAAGGACGGATAGAGGAAGGAGGGAGTGAGGAGAGGATGGGGGAGGAAAGGAAAATGGGTAGAAGGAGACCAGCGTAGGAAAAATGGGTAGAAGGAGGGGGAGGAGGAAGAGGAAAAGGAAGCGAACACCAGGCGAGGGGCAGATGGGAAGACGGGGCTGACGGGGAAGGACTCGCGATGGAACTCGGAGATTGGAGGCGAGAAACTGCTTGCGATTAGGGGTGGCATGGAGGATCAGATCCATTGGACGAGTTTGTGCGATATGTCTGGCCACGCGCCCACGATGCAACCGAGCAGTGGTAATTCGCCGAGCCCTTGAGACTTTCTCGGCGCGTGAGATGCTACAACTCCCCAAACCCTTCTCCTGGGAACCCAATCCCGCCGTTGTGGTGGTCGAGGTGACCAAGGGGGCAAGGGGGTAGCTGAGCCACGCTTCAGCATGAAAGTGATGGGCCCGCACTCTCGAAGCCACGCCCCATGGTAAAATGCAGCGGGCCCGCGCTGCCGAGGCGACGTGCTCCCCATACGACAACCCCACGCTATCAATAATAGTGGGATCGCTCGTTCCAGCCTCTTTCGCCTCCACCTTGTCTCCCTTCTCCAAAATCGCCCCCAGACCTATCCAATGGCGTGCTTATGACGGGAATTGCGGGGCGAATCCAGCCGTGGCGATCAGGGAAGGCGGCCACAGCTGCGAAAGGAGATAAAAAACAACTGCTTCGAGGCTCCTCCTCCTCCTCGTCTTCCTCCGCCTCCTCCTCCTCCTCCACCTTGTCACCCTAATCTAAACCACAGATGCCTAGCTCTTCCACCGCCTCCTCCTCCTCTTACACAAGACGCCTGGTATCATATACGTGGTACGCCGAACACCTGTGTTGACACAAGCCAGGCAGCCCACAGTGAAGGCGAACATACTGTTCCACCAACTATCCTGGACTCGCACGGAGACCTGCGGTGGCCGGCAGAAAGGGTTGCATGTGGAGCCCAGATCGAAAAGCTACTCCACCGAGAGGCCGTCGTAATTACTCCAGATCGCTTAATAATCGCCCCCTCTTGGAATGCCCCGGGGGGGGGTTGGCCGGGCGCGTCCGCGGGGGTGCCAGGGGGGGTCTGGAGTTCGTTCCCTTTCCCGCTGGGGCGCGGGGGTGGTGCCCGGGGGGGGGGTTGACCGCGCCGCGTTTTCACGTTTGTCACCCCCTGGCTAATTAATAAGAAGTTCGGAGAAACCTACGAGTTGAAAGAGAACCCCAAAGCAGCAGAAGATCAGACAGCAGAAGCATAAACTCTCGAAGGTCCGCGCGGTTCTCTTGGATCCCCCCCCCCTCCCTGGCGCGCGAAGCGCACCCATGAGCGGCGCTGGAGCCACCGCCAGGGGTGGTTCATCGCCGACCCAAGCAACTCGCGCAAACCTTCGAATAACAATTGTTTGTAGAATTGTTTGGGGAAGTCCCTCGCCGATCTAAGAGATCCGCGCGGACCTCTGTCATAATGATGATTATTGTGTTCCTTCTCGATCACTTGTCGTTGGTTTTGTTTGCTTTGAGGAACCTTTTTGCAACCTGCTAGGGGAAACTGATGGTGGAGGAGGGGGGAGAGAGCGGAGGGGGGAGAGAGTGATAATAAAGACGAAGAGAAAGAGAAAGAGAGAGACAGAGAGACAGAGAGAGAGAGAGATAATGGAGCAATTGCGATACACTTTTCCATATTCGAATACACATACGATACACTTGATCATCTACGGATCCACCAAGAAAGAGAAAGAGACACATTAATATATATATAGAGAGAGAGAGAGAGAGAAAGAGAGCGAGAGAGAGAGAGAGAGAACGAGGGAGAGAGATAGAAAGAGAGAGAGAGAGAGAGAGAGACATGAATGAAGAAAGAGAGAGAGAGGTAATGCGAGAGAGAGAAAGGCATGGAGAGAGACAGCGCGAGAGAGAGAACGAGAAAAATAGGATGAGAGAAAGAGAGAGAGAGAGAGAGAGAGAGAGAAATAGAGGGAGAGAAAGAGAGAGAGAGAGAAACAAAAAATAACAAGAAGAAATAACAAGAGAAAGAGTGAGACAAAGAGAGAGAGAGAGAGAAAAAGAGAGAGAGAGAGACAGAAACACAAGAATATCGAAATATACAACTAGCTGCAGAGGGTGGTCTCCGTGCTCCGCCCCTTTCCTGGGCTCGGGTTCCGGCCCCGACCCTGGCCCAAGGCCCGGGCTCGGCCCCGGTCGCGGCCCGGGCCTCCCGGCCCCGGCTCCGGCTTCAGCCGCGGCCCTAGGCTGGCCGCGGCCCCAGCCGTCCCCGGCCGCGGCCTCGGCCCCGGCTCAAGGCCCGGCACTGGCCCCAGCCCTGGCCCTGGCCCCGGGCCCTGTCGCCGCACATCGTCATCGTCGTCATGAGCAATCGGCGTCGCTGGTCGTCGGTCGTCGGTCATCGCTCGCCGTGAAGCGTCCATCGCGTCGTCAGTCGTCCTCGTCGTCGTTGTCGTCGGCCCTCGTCAACGGTCATCGTCGACATTCCGTCGCCATTCGTCGTCCGCCGTCGTCGTCGCCGGAGCCTTCGACAAACTCGGGGATCCACACAAGTCAGCGGCACTGGTTGGAGGCCACAACAATATCGAAAAATACAAGAGAAGCTTATATTCAGAAGCTCTACGCATACTGAAATACAAGCGCAACCCATACTAAGTTATAGATACACCGGAACATCGGGAGTAAGGACACAAGGGAGCGAACACCCAAGACATACATATACACATATGTACGTTTCTGTAGAATTCAGGCCCAAACAGAAAGAGAGAGAAGGAGAGAGACATATATATATATATATATATACACAGGGAGGGATACAAGTTAACATGCATGATTTTCATGACATTGTCTCACATACAGTATGCAATCATGTATAAGCGTGGCATCTATAGATCGAGAGTGCGAGAGAAAGAGCGAGAGAAGGAAAGAGAGAGAGGAATAGACACAGAGAGATAAATCTGTACATATACATAGAGAGAGAGAGAGAGAGAGAGAGAGAGAGCGAACCCAAACAATGAGAGAACTATCACGAGCTGGAGAATGAGAGAGACAGAGAAATGCATAAAGGGGGACAGACACTGAAAGAACGAAAAGAGGACAGAGAGAGAGAGAGAGAGAACAAACACATGGAGAGGAGAGGCGTGGATGGGCGATGTGGGACCAGGAAACGGATGTGGCGGGAGAGAGAGAGAGAGAGAGAGAGAGGCAGGAGCGACTGAGGCCCTCGAGGCCACTCGACCTGAGGCGAGGGGGGCGCCGCGGAGGCAGGTCGCGGTGGCGCCTCGGCTCGATGTGGCTGCCCCGCCCGCGCCACGAGGGCGCCTCCTCGCTGGCGGGGCGGCCGGGCGGGGCAGCGATGCAGTCGCCACGCCTCCTGCTCGGAACGCGTACCGAGGAACGGACGGGGCCTTCATGGCCACGGCGGGCCCAGGTCCTCCTTCTCCTCCCTCCTTCAGATCTGCCAGGCAGCGCCCGGGAGGTTGAGGGCGAGGCGCGGCGTGGCAGAAGATCGCCGCGGCCAGCCCACCGCCCATCCCCTTGCTTCGAGATTGCAACTCGTGGGAGTTTGAGCTTTAAGTCAACACTGGCGCTGGTACATCCGCGATCAAGAACCGTGCTGCCCCAGCCTGAGCCCGATCCGTCCTGGAACGTGCGGATTTGCTATCGGGGGCCGATCGGCGATCTATATGCGATGAATCGTCGATTCCAAGTCGATGCTTCCCCCCTGAGCTGGCCCCCCCCCCCCCTGAGGTCATGGCGCTGAACAGAGGACCACTTCGGGCTCAGGAGGGGCTCGGATGCTCGAGCCTCCGCCTCCTCCCCCTCCTCCCCCTCCTCCTCCTCCCCCTCCCCCTCCTCCTCCTCCTCCTCCTCCTCCTCCTCCTCCTCCTCCTCCTCCTCCTTCTCTTCCTCGAGGAGTAGGGAGGAGGCCAGATACAGTAGGGCCACCAAGTAAGACCCCTGCCTGCAAACTCGTGCCCAACGAAAGTTTCTTGCTCTCCTATGGATCTGGGGACTGATGGGGCTCCCTGCGAAGCTCAAGGTCGGAGAAGGATGTGCCCCCCGAATTCCTACAGTCAAGCGATCACCAGAAGGAGCACGACGCAGGGAACAGAGCCCCTGTCATTGTTTCACGACGTGGGCCCCCAGAGGTCTGGACCTAAGGATTAGTAGGGGCAGGAGCATCGAAGAGAGGTTTGGGGGATTTCACGGAGTTCGCCATGATGGGAACCCTACGTGCAAGCTCAGACCCCAAACATTGGCATCTGGCTCATGGGAACATCACACCATACCTGTGAGGGGGACCCCTCTTGGACAGCTCTTGGGGGCCTCTTGGGCCATTCCGGGACCATCTTGGGACGTCTCGGGTGCTTTCTTGGGCGTCTTGCGGCCATGTTGGAGGTCTGGGGCCGGGCAGCTCCTGGGGCCCTCCTGGGGCTGTCTTGGGGAGCCCCTTGAAGCTCTGCGAGGCCGTCTGGGGCCCGTGTGGACCGCCGTCAGGCCCTATTGGGGCCGTCTTGGTGCGCTCTTCGGGGCATCTCGGGCCGTCGTGGGGCGATCGTGGAAGGACATGGAGCCGTGTGCGCGGTGGGCGGCACCCGGCAAGCTCGACAGGGGGCCTCCCAAGAAGAAGAAAATCCCCACCGGGAGCTGCAACGCAGCACGCCTCGAGACACACAAAGAGGGCGCGTGAGGGCTCACCGGCGGCAGCACCTGGGCGAGCGACGGCTTCCGTCCACGGCCCCCCTTCAGGGCCACACGTCGCGAACCCAGCAGTCGGCCCAACTCCGCCGAGGGAACCCAACTCCGCGGCACCCCGACAGGCCTCGGGCACAGACCTAGCCAAGCGGCCTCTCAACGCAGGAAACTGCAGCTGACAGACAGTACACTTCAACAAGACAGGAAGGTTGGGGGGATAATATCTGAGGAGGGCGAGGATGAGGAGAAGGAGTAGGAACATGGCCCCTTCTCCTCCTCCTCCTCCTCCTCCTCCTCCTCCTCCTCCTCCTCCTCCTCCTCCTCTATAATGCTGCGCCTCAGTCTCCTCCTCTTCCTCATCCACTCTCCAGGAGCCCCCCGATACCCGCGTATATCCCCTCGGGAGGAGGGGGAGGAGGAGGAGGAGGAGGAGGAGGAGGAGGAGGAGGAGGAGGAGGAGGAAGACGACGACCCAGACCTCCGACGTCGTTTTTTTTCATTGCGTGGGTCCCGAGAAGTCTGGACCCTTTCCCTAAGACTGGTCCCGGTCCCGGTGAGGTCCCCGAGAGCCCGAAACTTGCCAAACAACTTCCGTCGAGATTGTTCCCGACGCGAGGGTGTCTGGGGATGGAGGGCGGAGGAGGGAGGAGGGTGACGAGGAGCAGTTCGGGGGAATGGTTGGAGGGCGGGGAGAGGAGGAGGCGAAGAAAGGATGATGATAGAGGAGGAAATGGAGTGAAGAGGAACAACGGACCAGTCGAGGGAGGGAGGGAAGATGAAGGACAATGTGGAGTATGTCAGGCCGCGTGCCCGCGTCAGCCGTGTCAAGGCCCAGGGCGGACGCCATGCCCAGCCCGTTGGGGTGCGGAGGCGCGGGGGCCGAATCACGTGATGCTGGTCCCCCCCAAAGGGAGGGGGAGGAGGAATAACGGACCAGAGCCAAGAGAGGGTCGAAGCAAGAGGGACAGCGTGGACTATGGCAGGCCGCATGCCCGCATCAGACGTGTCAAGGCCTGGGGTGGCCCCCGAGAGAGCCACTGCCGTGCCGCCCCCGGCCCGCTGGGGGGCGGGGTCACGGGGGCCGAATCATGTGAGCGACGAGAAGAGGCGGGTCTTACGCGAGATGGCATCGCGACCTTACGCGTCGGCTTGCGCGGGCGGCCACCGCGGCACGCTGCAGTGGAGACGCGGACGAGGGCGCGCAGGCAACTTACGCACGAATGACGGCGCAGTCGAACACGTGTTTCTGCGTCGCTCATGTACTGCTGATCCCCCCCAGTGCAAGTCGCAAGAGTCACTGAGACGAAGCATTCGAGGGAGGACGGCAATTTGGGGGGACTGTGCGTTACAATCAGCAAGCCCCTGAACCAGAAGAAACAAACCTAAAGGGCAATAGGATCGGGAAGAGGTTTGGACACTTCCTCCTCCTCCTTCTCTTCTTCCTCATCCGCTCTCCAGGAACCTCTGGATACCTCGCAAGCTTCTGGCAGCCGTTAAAACATCCGCAAAACTCCTCAGGAGGAGGAGGGGGATGAGGACGAGAAGGAGGGGGAGGAGGAAGAGAACCGGACCTCTGACGTCGTGATTTTCTGGACGTGGACCCAGAAGCCTGAAACGCAACTCGGGGCAATATGAGCAACCGAGCTAAGTCAGTAGAACCCCTTCCCATCAGTGGAAACTAATTCTCTTGTTGGCGCCCTTGTTGACGGACATGGGCCCCACCAAACATGGAAATCGATTATCCTCTTGCACAGGGTGTCTAGAGCTCCGACCACTTTATTTCGGCGTCGCACCGCCCCCACCGTTTATACATCCACCACAACCACCACCACCACCACCACCACCACCACCACCACCACCACCACCACCACCACCACCACCACCACCACCACCACCACCACCACCACCACCACCACCACCACCACCACCACCACCACCACCACCATCGTGACACCGCCCCCCGTCCAGTGCCCTCTCCACCCCGCCCCCCTTCCCCCCCCCCCAAGCCGCCCAATGCCCTCTGCGACCCGCCCTCCGCTCTCACCATTTTATTCTCTTGCACAGCTGTGCTCTAGAGCTCGGACATCTTTATTTTCGTGTCGTGTCGTGTCGTGTCGTTCCCCCCTGCCCCCCCCCCCCTGCCCCGCCCCGCCCAGGCTCCCAGGGCAGCCCCCTGGGCCTCGGACACCTTTATTTTCGTGTCGTGTCGTGTCGTTCGTCCCCCTGCCCCCCCCTCCGCCGCCCCCCCCCTCCAGGCACCAGGGCAGCCCCCCTGGGCCTCGGACTTTTATTCTCTTGCACAGCTGTGCTCTAGAGCTCGGACATCTTTATTTTCGTGTCGTGTCGTGTCGTTCGTCCCCCTGCCCCCCCCCTGCCCCCCCCCGTCCAGGCTCCCCAGGGCAGCCCCCCTGGGCCTCGGACACCTTTATTTTCGTGTCGTGTCGTGTCGTTCGTCCCCCTGCCCCCCCCCTCTGCCCCCCCCGCCCAGGCTTCCCAGGGCAGCCCCCCTGAGCCTCGGACACCTTTGTGCAAGAGCCAGGGCACGCGTGCCACTTGTTTTCGTGTCGTGTCGTGTCGCGTCGTCCCCTTGCCCCGCCCCCTCCCCCTTCCCCCCCGGACCCAAGAGCCCACGCCCACTTGCCCCGTGTCGTTCGTCCCCCTGCCCCCCCCCTCTGCCCCCCCCCGCCCAGGCTTCCCAGGGCAGCCCCCCTGAGCCTCGGACACCTTTGTGCAAGAGCCAGGGCACGCGTGCCACTTGTTTCGGCGTCGCACCGCCCCCCGTCCAGTGCCGTCTCTACCCCGCCCCCCTCCGCCCCGACCATTTCATTTCGGCGTCGCACCGCCCCCACCGTCCCCCCCCCACGACCCTTCCCCCTCCCCACCCGCCCCGTGCACCCCGCCTCCCTCCGTCCCGACAACTTTATTTCGGCGTCGCACCACCCCCACCGTTCCGCCCCCCGATCCTCCCCCCCTCCCCAACCGCCCAGAGCCCTCTGCATCCCGCCCCCCTCCGCCGGGTCCGCCCCTACCATTCTATCCCGGCGTCGCACCGCCCCCACCACTCTGCCCCTTCCCCGCTCTCTACCCGCCCACGCACACCAACCACCACCACCACCATTCCCACCATCAGCGTTACGCCCTCCGCCCCGACCATTTTATTTCGGCGTCGCACCGCCCCCCGTCTAGTGCCGTTTCTACCCCGTGCCCATCAGCCCCGACCATTCTTATTTAGGCGTCGCACCGCCCCCACCGCCCCGCCCCCACGACCCTCCCCTATCCCCACCCGCCATGTTATTTCGGCGACCCTCTGCCCCGACCATTTTATTTCGGCGCCGCACCGCCCCCACCGCCCCGCCCCCCCGACCCTTCCCCCCTCCCCAGCCGCCCAATGCCCTCTGCACCCCGCCCCCTTCCGCCCCGACCACTTCATTTCGGCGTCGCACCGCCTCCACCGCCCCGCCTCTCCCGCCACCCCCGCCCACCCACCCACACTCCGCCTCGACCATTTTATTTCGGCGTCGCACCGCCCCCACCGCCCCCGCCGCCCCCCGACCCTTCCCCTCTGCCCAGCCGCCCAGTGCCCTCTGCATCCCGCCCCCCTCCGCCCCGACCATTTTATTTCGGCGTCGCACTGCCCCCACCGCCCCGCCCCTCTCGCCCCTCCAGCCACCTGCCCGCGCCAACCACCACCACCACCAGCGTGACCCCCCCCCGGCCCGACCAATGTGTTTCGGCGTCGCACCGCCCCCCATCCAGTGCCGTTTCTACCCCGCGCCCTTTTGCCCCGTCGAGTTTATTTCGGCGTCGCAGCGCCCGGCCCCCACGACCCTTCCCCCCTCTCCACCCGCCCAAAGCACCCCGCCTCCCTCCGTCCCGATCACTTTATTTCGGCGTCGCACCGCCCCCGCCGCCCCGCCCACCCCGATCCTGCCCCCCTCCCCAGCCGCCCAGTGCTCCCTGCACCCCGCTCTCCTCCGCCCCGACCACTTCTCCCGGCGTCGCACCGCCCCCACCGCCCGCCGTTCCCGCCCCGTCGCCCACCAACCCGCACCAACCATCACAACCACCACCACCCCCACCACCAGCGTGACCCCCTCCACCCCGACCATTTCACTCTTGCGTCGCACCGCCCCCCGTCCAGTGCCGTTTCTGCCGCGCCCCCCTCTGCCCCGACCACGTCTCACCGCCTCCACCGCCCCGCCCCCGCGACCCTTCCCCTCTCCCCACCAGCCCAGTTCATCCCGCCCCCCTCTGCCCCGACCATTTTATTTCGGCATCGCACAGCCCGCGCCGCCCCGCCCACCCCGACCCTGCCCCCCTCCCCAGCCGCCCAATGCCCTCTGTGCCCTGCACCCCTCCGCCCCGACCATTTTTCATTTGGCGTCGCACCGCCCCCACCACCCCACCCCTCCCGCCCTTTCGCCCACCCACCGAGACCAATCACCACAACCATCCTCCGCTCCGACCACTTCGGCGTCGCACCGCCCCGCGTCCAGTGCCGTGTCTACTCCGCCCCCTTCCGCCCCGACCATATTTATTTCGGCGTCGCACCGCGCCCACCGTCCCGCCACCACGACCCTTTCCCCCCTCCCCAGCCGCCCAATGCACCCCGCCTCCCTCCGCCCCGTCCGCTTTGTTTCGGCGTCGCATCGCCCCCGCCGTACCGCCCTTGCGCACCCCGCCCCTCACCGCCCCGCCCCTCCCGCCCCTCCACCCAGCCACCCACCCAAACCAACCACCACCACCAGCGTGACCCCCTCCGCCCCGACCACTTTATTTCGGCGTCGCACCGCCCCCCGTCCAGTGCCGCTTCCACCCCGCCCACCTCCGCCCCGACCATTTTATTTAGGCGTCGCACCGCCCCCCCCGCTCCGCCCCCACGTGACACCGCCCCCCGTCCCGCCCCCCCACCCACCCACCCACACCAACCACCACCACCACCACCACCACCACCACCATCACCACCAGCGTGACCCCCTCCGCCCCGACCACTTCATTTCGGTGTCGCACCGCCCCCACCGTCCCGCCCCCACGACCCTTCTGTCCCAGCGTTCCCCCGCAGCCCAATGGCCTCTCCACCCCGCCCCTCTTACACCCCTGGGGGAATATAGCATCGTGAACAAGTACACCTTTCACTTGCACTTTTCGAGGCGGATCGATCTGTGATGGCCCCCTGGCCGTCGCCGCCGCGGCAGCCGCCGTCGATTCCGCCGCCGCCGGCGCTGGCGCCGCCAGCGTCGCCGCCCCAGCCTCCGCCGCCACCGCCACCGCCGCGGCCGCCGCCGCCGCCGCCGACGTCGCCGCCGCCGCCGCCGCCGCCGTCGCCGTCGCCGTCGCCGTCGCCGTCGCCGTCGCCGTCGCCGTCGCCGTCGCCGTCGCCGTCGTCGTCGTCGTCGTCGTCGTCGTCGTCGTCGTCGTCGTCGTCGTCTTGGTCGTCGTCGTCTTGGTCGTCGTCGTCTTCTGTTTCTTCGTCGTCGTCTTCGTCGTCGGTGTCGTCGTCGTCGCCGGCGGCGCCGTGGCGGCCCGCTCCTGGCAGGGCGCGTGGCCCACCAGCAGCGCGTGGGCCACGGCGCCCAGGCTCCAGAGGTCGGCCGCGGGCCCGGCGTGGCCTGCGCCTGCGGGCCGGCAGGGTCTCGCCGTCGTCGGCCGTCGTCGATTGCCGGTCGACGGTCGACGGTCGACCGTCGACGACGACGACGAAGGTGGACGACGACGGCGTCGTCGACGACGGTCGGCGACGACGAGACCTGGATCCCTGCTTGTCGATACCATAGTCGACGACGACTCGTCGTCGGCAAAGTTATCGGGCATCAAGGATCCATGGGCAAGCCTCGTCGTCGTCGACCGCCGTCGTCGACGAACGCAGACATGCCCGCATCATGAAAAACTCAGGGCGGAGGTTTCCGGTCGTTTTCAGCCTCCAGGGACACTCGTCGTCACCTGAACCGTATATATACCAGGACGGCTCAGGATGAGAAGCCGGCCCTCGGGAGACGGCCGCGGCGTCTGGGGACCGCGCGCTGAACCAATCAAGACGTCGCGATGTCTGGGAAGTTCGAAGCTTCCAGTTTAGGGCGCTTCGGGGAGGTAACTGGGACGCTTCGAGGCGCTCCTGTGGGCTCTGCGATGCTTTGCTGGAGGGTTCCTATAATAGAGGCCTTGGGATCCAAGTAGATGGGATCGGATGATCGCGCCGCATCGCCAATGCATCGCAGATGCATAGGCGATGCATCGCCGATGTATCCGCGACGTCGGCGGCGTATCGGCGACGTCGGCGTGGAGAAAACATGGCTTCACATCGCGCCACACAGCCGACGCACCGCCGATGCATCGGAGATGCGGCGCGCTCCTCCGACCCTATCTACTCGGACCCCATTTGGGAAGCCTAGATGTCCACGGCGAAGCGAGCCCCTGACCTCGGCGAAGCGAACCCCTGGCGGAGCGAGCCTCGGCGAGGCGAGCCCCCAACGATAGGACCCCCCGCGGAAGCGAACTCCCCACGGAGGGACCTCCAGCGCGAAGCGAAAAAACCCGGCGCAGCGTACCCCACAGCCGAAACCCAGAGGCCTGCTGGCCTCTGGATGCCTTCTGGCAGCAGCGCCACGCCGAGTGGGCCGCCTGGGGGTGCCCAGACTGTCCTCGCCCCATCCTCTCTGGACGCAGCAAGCGTCGTCAAACGCATATTAAACGTTACCCGGGCGCAACGCTAACGCTCACAAAGCTCACGCTAAAGAAATTTCGTCAAACCTCTGCGGCTTTGCTGAACTTCATCTACACGCCAGAAGCCTGAGCAAACCCAGGATGCATCTCGGCACCCCATCCTGACGGATGGCTCCTGGCTGTTTCCGGCCCCTCGGGGCCCTCCCTGGGCCCCGAGAGGCCGCCAAGGATAGCGGTCCAGGGTGAGAGGCCCGTCCCAAAGGAGAGGGGTTCCGAGGGTCCACGCCGCGAGCACGGCCACGACGGCCTGCCGCCCATCGCCCGTCGTCGCCATCATCGACCGTCGTCCGTCGTCCGCCGTCGTCCGGCCGTCGTCCGGCCGTCGTCCGCCGTCGTCCGTCCGTCGTCCGTCGTCCATCGTGCCCCCTGTCGTCCGTCATCGTCCGCCATCCGTCGTCCGTCGCCGTCCGTCGTCATCCGACGTCCGTCGTCGCCCGTCGTCCGTCGTCCGCCGTCGTCGACCGGCATGCCACCTGTCGTCCGTCGTCGTCCGCCATCCGTCGTCCGCCGTCGGCGACCGTCGTCCGTCCACCGTGGTCCGTCGGCGGTCGTCTGTCGGTCGTGGGCGTCGCCGTCATCTCGCACGCGGCTCTCGAGCTGCGCAGGGCCCCACACCGCCTTGGATGCGGGCGCGGAGGTGACGCCCTTGACAGCAGCGACAATCGACAGACTGCAGGCCCAGTCATCGATACCCAGACATGCAACGTCCTGGTAAAATCCGAACGGAGGTTTTCTAAACTTTCTGCCTCTGGGGGCCCTTACTCAGATGCCTGACCGGGAGGAAGACACGGCCCTGGGGAAAGGGTCGGGACTTCCTGGGACCGCGTATTGAACAATCAGGACATTCCATGTCTGGGTAATGATGGAGCTTCAGCATGTATGCCTCCAGGAACGTCGCGAAAGCCAAGGATCCGCGCGCCCAAACGTGCCAAGGATGGCCAGAACTGAAGGATACAAGGTGCCCTTGCGACAAGGGAGTAGCCTCGACGCCGGTTTTGACTTTACGACGCGTCGTCGTCGCCAACGCCGTCTGTTGCCACCCGTCGTTTCGTCGTCGTCCGTCGTTGGTCGCCGCCGCCGCCCGCGGAGCGGTGGTGCCGCCCGCAGCGGCGGCGGCGACGACGTTGAAGCGTTTCTCAGGGCCGCCGACACCGTGTTTTCTACGAGAACGGCGCACATGCACCGTTCAACGTTTGGACCCCATTCTCTCGGACTTCTTTCACATCTTCCTGCTGTGCACGCCCGTGCTCTGGCACACACTGTCCTCGAGGACTTCATGCTCTGAGCGTGCTCCGCGTTCCTCCCCTCCGAGCCGGCGCTCTTCGCCTTCTTGTTGTGCCCAGTCAGGCCCCGTAGGGCCCCTCGACTGCCTCTGACCGCGGAGTGGGACCGCGCCGCTGCGACCAAAAAGTATGAATTCTCTTCAGGCTCCGCCCCAACGCGGTACGGTGCAGAAGTTTTCGGCCCAGTGGGCCGAACAGCTGTGCACCGTACCCCCTTCCCAGGTCGAGGATCGACGACGCCTTGGGAGAGGGCCGACGCGGCACTGTGCACACGAGTCGCCCGCGGACTCTCGCGACGTGGACCCCCACGAGGTCCAGTCCATTTTTCTGGGGCCGCCTACTCATCCCGCGAGTCGCTGTCTGGCGACCCCAGTCCGGTAGCAACTCATGGAAGCCTCCCACGTAATCTTGCTTGCCGGCGTTAATCGACGCGAGTCGACGCTGGTCGACGGTGGTCGACGCTAGATCGACGCGAATCCCCGCTACATCGGCGCCATCTCATCGATTACCACACGCTAGCCGACGCCAAAAGCGGAATCAAGACGGAACACGCGGCTCCCGTAATCCCAGGGCGCAGCGAGGGCCCCGAGGGGTCGAAGCGTGCCGAGAGCCTCCCGCCAGGATGTCCTGCACGGCGCGGGGAGGTCTGGGTCTCAGCCATGGCGCGGGAGGCCCGCCGCCCGAAAGGTCAGGCGCGGGGCCGGGGGCGCGAGCGAACAATGATTTCCGGGCCGGGTAGCTGTCGGTACTACGGCCCGAAGGCTGGCTCAGGAACGCAGTGCCCGAAGCGGGCCCCCCCCCCCCGCACGGAGCCAAGGAGGGAGGGAGCGACGAGCGACGAGCCCAGGGCAACGGTAACGCTTGGAGGGGCCCAGAGGGTACTCGGGGGTCCCAAGAGGTACTCGTGGGGAAGGGGGGGGGAGCCCCAGGTAACGGTAACGATTAGGCAGGGGAGGGGGTGGGGGCGGGCACTTCGGACGGGGGTGCGCTGTGAGCGCTACAACCCATAGGATGCGCAAGAACATTTGTGACTATGTGGAGGAGCCAACCCCCCCACCCATCTTCGCACGATCGTTACCGTCACCCCAGGGGGGGGGGTAACGACCGTTACGCGCCAGAGAATACACAACTTCGAAGGGCCCCCGTCCGCCATGTGCCCTGAAGTCCTGGTGCTCAAATCGTCTCGAGCCGAGCGTTTTCGGTCGGATTCGGGCCCCAGGACCCTCACAGATCGATGCGGCTCGAGGAATCCCGCTGCAAGATGATCAAGATGATGGGGTCCAGGACTCCAATCGTGATCTGTTCTGATTGTTGGGGGTTCTGCGCGACCGTGACGCACCAGTGGACGCACAAAAACACAGTGCCCCTAAGGCCCAGACGCTCGACGACGTGACGATTTCCAATCGAAGACGCCAGGGGGGCAACCTTGCAACACTCCAACCAGGATGATGAACCGGGTTAGGTGGATCCCCCCTCATGGAACCAGCAGAGGTTCAGATGATACCGGCTCTGCACAGCCACAATGAGGCTAAGCGGCTTGGGGGAAGCTTCAGGGAGCGCAGGGTGAGAAGGAGCCAGCGCCGTGACGCGCTGGGGAAGGCCTGAGCAAAGTCGACCGAGATCAGACGAGGGAGCCCCTCATCAACTGCCGTGCCACGCTGAGGGGAATCCTTCATGACAGAACCAATCCGAGCGACCCGCGTCCAACTCAAACACGTTCTGCAAGAAGGATCTCCCTCAAGGCGTTCTGCATCTCAGGGCTCAGAGCCTGAACAGCAGAAGTCACAGGCAAGTTAATCAAAGCCGAGCCACACTTGGTCAACGAGTTCTCCAGAGAGAGCGTCTAGTCTCATCAGCGGCACGAGTGAGCGAGGCAGACTGGCCATCTTATGGTTTATCACCTTTGGCTAGGGAAGCCGCCAGAGACTCAAAAAAAGCGAGCGGGAGAATGCACCCCGCCGTGAGCGCCCAGAAGGCCACCATCACCACCACTGGGCCTCGACCAGCCGTCCGGGTGCTGTATGGCAACCCGTCGGGTCCAGGGGCCGAGTCGCAAACGCGTCACAGGAGTTTTCGAACCAGACCAGTGCTAGGCGGGGGCACGTCCCTAAAACACATACTAGATGCGAACTTGGCTGCATACCGAGGCGCTCCAGGCGGGAGATCCGACGGGGTCTGGACAACAGGCGCCCCAAACTCAGCAAGATTTCGAGCCTTGCCCTCAGAAGAAGATGACGAACCAGCCTCACCCAAGACAGCTCCCAACAGAAGCCCAGCGGGATCCCAGAAACGAGCACGCCTGTGAAGGGCCCTGAGGCGCTTAGACGAGGCCGCAGTACATGTCTCCTGAGTCTGCTGGAGGTTGCTCTGAGCGTGACTAGCTTCCGCCGTGGCAGCTGCACTTTGGGCTTCGTTGGATGCAATGACGAAGGCCTCAGTGTTTTGCAGGATCACTTTTCCGAACGAGACCAGCAGGTGTTCACGTAGCCAGTGGTGTCGAAGAAGCAACGCCTGAGCAGCATGGACATGCTGACATGCCACCGCACGCGATGCCGACCTCCAGACCCTCGCCATTCCCTGCGGCCCAGGGAGAATACGCGACAAGATCGCATCTCGAGTAGCACGAGCAGCTGCACGTCGAGCTCGAACAGAAAGCGCACAATAATATCAGGCGGCCAGTCGTACTCGACAATTTCTTCTGCCTTCTCATAGGCCTGGACCATGTCGTGAAAGATGGGGTCCTAGACGCCTAGATGAGGAGGAGGAGGAGGAGGAGGAGAACGAGGAGAAGGAGGAGGACGAGGAGAACGAGGAGGAGGAGGAGAGGGAGGAGGGGGAGAAGGAGGAGGATGAGAAGAACGAGGAGGAGGATAATGAGGAGAAGGAGGAGAACGAGGAGAACGAGGAGGAGGAGGAGGGGGGGGAAGGGGAGGAGGTCGCCACCCGAGGCGGCACAGCCGCGCCTGCGCCGTCCTCGGGCAGGAGCTCTGGGGCCGTGTACGGGTTCGCGTTCCAGCAGATGGAGGAGCCGTCCTTTTGAGCAGGTGCCGTCCGTCCCGGCGCGCCACATACACATACATTTCTCTCTCTCTACTTATATACATGCACATACACCTCTCCCTCTCTACTCTCTCTCTCTCTCTTTATATATATATATATATATATATGTGTGTGTGTACACACATACATCTCTCTATTTGTGTAATGTACATACATGGATGTACGCCAAGAGTGCATTGGCACTTCCCGCCATGCATCTTGGCTCTGGACGTTGGGCATGCAGACTGGAAGGCAGGAAAGTCCGCCGACCACCGCTTGCCAGGGGTGCACGTGCAGGTGAGGTGATTGGCTGTCCCCTCCCCCTTTCCTCCCCTGGGGCTTGAAGTCCGATTAAGGGGTGGGGGGTGAGGGGGGCGCTCCAAGCTCGTTTCTACAAAGCCTCCAGAGCCTTCAAGGCCTCCATTTCTACACCCTGTGGCCTCCAAGATGCCGACGACTCAATCTACGCCTGCTCAAGTTTTTTTTGACGAGCAAGCTCGGGCGACCAGCGCTGCCGCAAGCGACAGGAGGTTCTAACACGCACAGGGGCCTCAAGACTGCCCAAAGACCCTCAAAGATGCCCCGAGCGGGCTCCAAGATGACCAATAAGCAAGAATCGTCCAAATCCTCAGGAAAACGTATCGTTTGAGCGTAATCGTTTTTTGTCTCAGCAGCGTCCAAGACGGCTAAATAGGCCCCCATGATGGTTCCAAGACGGCTCAAGAGGACCCCAAGAGTGCCCCAAGACGGCCGAAGAGGGTTCAAAGGCGGCCCAAGAGGCGCCAAAGATTGCCCCAAAGATCCCCAGGAAGGCCCCATAAGGGGCTCAAGAAAGATAACTCGAACTGACATTGCAAGCCCTCCGCCCCAAGAGGATCTCCGAGATCGCCAGCAGGAGCGGAACCAAGAGGCCCGAAGAGGTCCCCAAGAGGGACAAAAGAGGCCCCCAGAGGGTCCCGAAGAAGCCCCCATTGACTTCATCCCTTTCTGGGGGTCGGCGAAATGGAGTAAGCCTATTGAATGAGACGGGCAAGGCTAGCGAAAACTGCCTCCTGTCTTTTCCGAGATCGTCGTTATAGTAATGTGTCTCATTATCCTTCCCTCATAATTCCTCTTCCTCTTCCTCGTTCTCGCCCTTCCCTGCAAATTCGTCCCCATCCTCCTTTGCTATCTTTGTGGAGGCTCCTCCTTGGAGAGCCTCTTGTAGGCCGCACAACCTTGTTTACCCGCGTGCTAAGTGGGGTTATGTGTTCCTCCTCTCCCTCATCGCACCCGCGTCCAACACACACACACACACACACACCACGCAAACAACGAACACACGTAACACATTTGACACGCACGCACATATCAGACACACACCAGACAACACAACACCACATATACCAGACCATATACACATCACACGTCAGTCATGCATCACACAACACAACACAACACAACATCACAAACACCACAGGCGTGGCACTTTCTCGCCACCATAGGGGGTGCGCAGGAGGTGGTCCCCCTATCTGCGCTGGTCGTCCAGGGCGTGGCAGGCGTGACACTTTCTCGACACCAGAAGGGGGTGCGCAGGGGGTGGTCCCCCTATCCGCGCCGGTCGTCCAGGGCGTGGCAGGCGTGCCACTTTCTCGACACCATAAGGGGGTGCGCATGGGGTGGTCCCCCTATCCGCGCCAGTCGTCCGGGGCGTAGCAGGCGATCCACTTTCTCGACGCCATATGGGATGCGCAGGGGGTGATACCCCTATCCGCGCCGGTCGTCAAGGGCGTGGCAGGCGTGCCAATTTCTCACCACCAAAGGGGGTGCGCAGGGGGTGGTCCCCCTATCCGCGCCGGTCGTCCAGGGCGTGGCAGGCGTGCCACTTTCTCGACACCATGAGGGAGGGCGCAGGGGGTGATACCCGTATCCGCGCCGGTCGTCCAGGGCGTGGCAGACGTGCCATTTTCTCGTGCGCAAGGGGGTGGTCCCCCTATCCGCGCCGGTCGTCCAGGGCGTGGCAGGCGTGCCAATTCCTCGTCACCAGAGGGGGTGCGCAGGGGGTGGTCTCTGAGAGCGGCCGCTATCCGCGCCGGTCGTTCGGGGCATAGTCGACACCATAGGGGGTGCGCAGCGGTTGGTCCCTGAGCGCGGCTGCTATGCGCCCTGGTTGTCCAGGGCATAGCAGGCGTGGTACCTTCTCGACACCATGGTGGTATGTTCAGTGATGTTATGTTATGCCCTATTTTGTCATGGCGTTGAAAATATCATGTTCTGTCATGTTCTGTCATGCTCGTGATATGTGTCGTGATATGCTGTGTCGTGTTGTGTTCTGTCGTGTTCGTCGTCGCTATGCTCTGCTGTCGTGCTACGATGTTGTTTGTGATGTTATGTCATGGTCTGATGTTATGACAAGGTGTGTGATGATATGCTCGATTATGTTATGTTATGTCCTGGCATGTCGCCTTATGTTATGATATGTTATTATCTGGTCTGTTATGTTATGCTCTATTGTGTCAGGACGCTGCTACGTTATGTTCTGCCATGGTCTGTCATGGTCGTGTTCTGTTCTGTCATGCTATGTTGTGCCATGCTGCGTTATGTCGTGATCGTCGTGGCTATGCTCTGCTGGCGAATTATGATATTCTATGTGATTGGGTGACACGATATGAAACGTTATGCCACGGTGTGATATGTGTTGCTAACTTATGTTGTTTGATGTTGTGATCTGCTGTTTTATGTTATGCCATGTTCTGCTCTGGTATGTTACGTCATGTTCTGCTATGCCCTATTTTGTCTTGGTCATGCTCTGTTCCGTTCTGTCATGTTCTGTTCTGTCACGTTGTGGTTTGTCGTGTTCGTCGAGGGCGCGAGGCGGGACACCCGGGTCTCTCGGGGATCATCAGGACAACTTGGGATCTGGGGGCCGCGGTATGCAAGGTGGGGTTGGCCGGGCGCCAGGCGGGACACCCGGGACCATCGGGACAACATCGGGTCTGGCGGCCGCGCTATGCAGGGCTGGGCGCCAGGCGGGACACTGGGGACCATCGGGACAACTTGGGGTCTGGCGGCCGCGGTATGCAGAGTGGGGTTGGCCGAGGGACCTGCCCTTGAAATCTAACAGTCCCAACCTGTCGGGTGAGGAAAAAAGAGGAGGGCATCAGCCAGTGTGGACCTCGAACATAATGCTTCTAGCAATTCATGTTGTGCAAAAAATGTTGTGCAGTCTTTGTGTTGCTATCTGTGTTGTGCGATACGTGTAGTGCAACAGGTGTGGTGCAATCTATGCTGTAACATATATGTTATGCAAGATATGTAGTGCCATCTATACTGTGCAACATGTGTAGTGTAACTTATGTGGAGAGCGATCAGAAAGCGCCGCAGGCGCGAAAAACATATCGTGCAATACATGGTCTGCTATCTATGTGGGACGATGTATGTAGAGCGATATATGTGGTGCAATTGATTTTTACACATGACACATGATTTGACACATCCCACGCTCTTGCACACATCCCACCCACCCACCCGCAACTTGGTTTGCAAAACCTCTTAAGACCGACTACGACGACACCGACGACAACGACTACGACGACACCGACGACGTCTCCGACGACTTCGACGACGACAACGACGCCGACGCCGACGACGACGAAGACGACGACGACGACGCCAACGAAGACGACGACGAGGGAGGAGGAAGGACGACGACGGCGACAACGACGACAACGACGACAACGACGAGGAGGAGGGAGGACGGCGACGACGCGAACGACGAAGAAGGAGGAAGGACGGCGACGCCGACGACGACAACGACGAGGGAGGAGGGAAGACGACGACGACAACGACGACGACGACGGCGACGAAATAGGAGGGACGACGACGAGACGCCGACGACGGACGACGACGACGACGAGGAGGAGGAGGAAGGACGACCACGGCGACGACGACGACGGAAACGACCACGACGCCAAAGAGGACGACGACGACGAACACGAGGAAAGACAGAGGACGACGTAGGCGACGACGACGATGCGGGAGGAGGGAGGACGGCGACGACGACGACGACGCAAGAGCGCGCGCGCACGCTTTTGTTGAAAATCCGTGTTGCGAAACCTTGTGTTTTTGTAGGTTTTTTGGACACACGATTTTGAAATCCTTCCGAAACCTTTGGATTTTGAAGGATTTCGGCGTACGCGCGCGACGACGCGCGCGTCTGCACTTCGTCTCATTTTTTGCAGAGGATTCTCGCGACGGCACACGCGCAAGGGCGCTCGACTGATTTCGACATGCGCGCGCGAAGCCCGCTTAATAGCATTTTGTGAAAATCTTGAAAAACCTATGGTTTTCTTGAGATTTAGCAAGAGCTCGCGCGGAAGCTTTTTTAGCAAATCAGTGTTGCGCAACCCTGTGTTTTTTTTTTTATGTGTCTTGGAAACGCGATTGCGAAATCCTTCCGGCACCGAAGGTCTTTGAAGGATTTCGGCATGCGCGCGCGACGACGCGCGCGTGTGCACTTCGTCCTAATTTTTGCAAGGGATTCGTGAAAAAGTGTTATGTTAGAACAACAAATGTCACCACATAGTGTTTTTTTACCAGGGAACCTCAGGGAGGGGGAACCCGGCCCCCCGGGGATACTGTAAATTCATAGTTAGGATGGACATGTGGTCAGAATCAGATATGACTTACATACCTGAAAAGGGGACCGATAACGCCGGGGGGGGGTAGAGTCTATTCTCTTTTTAATCACTTGCCGAACTTGAAGTTGTCAACTCCACTGCTCGCGCAATCATCCCAGCCACCCACCTGCAACTTGGTTTGCCAAACCCATGCGGGGCCGAACACAGATATCGCTCCGGGGTCGTCTTGGAGCCCTCGGGGGCGTCTCAAGAGCGCCCCAAGAAGGCCGGAGAAGCAAGACGGCCGACGTCGACGACGACGACGACGGCGGCGACGACGACGACGCCGACGTCGACGACGACGAAGACGAATACGCCGACGCCGACGACGACGAC